TCATCGAAATATGCTTTTCAAAAACCTGTTCATTTGCACCATCATGCTCGCTATCTCGAGCTAGTATCACCAAAGCATGCACACCTCCAGCTCTAACAACTTCCTCGCTACATTTTCGGTTTGTTGATAAATTCGCTAATGTACCAGCAGCACGTTCATAATCACACAAAAAAATATAACAAACTTAGCCACAAGTATGATAAATATTTGAATATTTTCCTAATCAAAAGTGTGTACGTACCACAATTACACCATAGGCAATTGTCCATCTGTAGATAAGCTCGACTAATGCCTTCACTCCTCCAGCTTGAGCAATCGCGTACTGTATATATATAATAAGAAAATAAACAATAATAATGTTAGCTAGAGATCAGCAAAAAGGCTTTTGAGTGTGTGTTACCTTATTCTCTTCTACTACAGAGAGATTCCATAGTCCACCAGTAGCTTCTTCAGCGACAAGTTTAGTCGTAGACTTTGTTAAACCAATAAGAACACTGATCCATCCTTGTTCAGCTACGGTCTTTGCAACGTTAGCATTTGAAGACAAGTGTCCAATAGCCTTTGCAGTTTCTGATTGAATAGCATCTTGCGAAGATTTTGCGAGTTGTAGAAGGATTCTGATCCCTCCGCCTCGTATAACTGCTTCGACTCTTTCAAAATCAAGACTAGCTGTATCATCATCATCGTTCACAATAAATGTCGCGAGTGTTTTGACCGCCTTCTCTTGGACATCTTCTTGTGAGCTTTGCAATAAACTTAGAAGCAACTTAGCTCCCTGACTCACCCAGAAATCGTCAAATCCCGGTATAATGCTCTCTGAACATCTTTGAAGTGTATGAGAAATACTCCACTCGATCCAACGCATCTTTTCGTCAATGCATTTATCCTTGCTTATCACACCTCTCCAGTAAGAGAAAACGTCCTTTGGTTTCTTTGAGTCATCGGCGAATATAGAAGCTAGCTCATCGAAAATGTCGGTAAACGGTGCGAGCAAGACCTTTCCTCTGACTCTGTTGGAGCTGAAACTTTCGAGAGAATCGCAGAATAAAGCACACAAAACTTCCAAGCTCGACGATGATTCCAACAACCTTGAAACTGCAGTCTTGTCGATATCGGTTCTAGAGACATCCAAACCGATTAAGTTGGGAAGCCTCTTCCAATTCTCTGTTGCAACATTCCAATCTATGCTTGTTCCAGCAACAGAGAGGTATCGAACAGATACCACTTTCCCGAGTGCTTCTTCGTCGATCTTGAAGCAATCTAAGAATCCAAGATCACTGAGCTGTGTACAGTATTTGGCCAAACACTCAACAGCCTCAGAGCTAACATCTTTCAGTCCAGATAGATGAAGCTTTCTAAGTTTTTGACAGCAAAAGGCTACAATTTTTATAGCTTCACTAGTGATGTTCTCACAAAAGTCCGGTCCAAGCTCGAGGCACTCAAGAGCATCATGGCGAGCTGCAATCATAGACAATGTAGCATCTGTTACCTTCCTACAATACTCGCCGCTTAACTCAACCAGATGCTTTGCTTGTAAATGAACGATGGCTTCAGCAGATTCACCGTGACGGAACCTAAGCTTCTTAAGATAAGCACACCTAGGTGCAAGAGAAGCTGCAATTGAAGGATTGAACTGGTAGAGACGAGTATCCAAGGAACTCCACAAGTAAGAAGAAGCACCAAGGTTTCTCCATTTGCTACAAGTTGATGCTAAGCTAGCTCGATCGTGATAATTTAAACGAGTAAACAGATCGAGGACTGTATCACAAGGCAAACCAGTCCAATCCACATAACTTTGCAACTTAGTTCCAAAATCAGCATCATCACCAATCACACAGTCACTAGATCTATCAAAACTATTATTCATTCTCATATCGATGACTCTCTGACGTACCTTACGAATCATACCTTGCTCATATGTATATATAATATACACACACACACACTAATCCTCTTGCAAAACCACTTTGCTTATAGTATATATCTACACTTCAAAACGCTCATGAAGAATCTTAGAAATGGTGTAATGATACCATAACACAGATCCAACTCCGCCTAAGAACAATCCAAACCTGTAGCACAAGAAAAAAAGAAGATCATCCAAAGAACTCTCCAATTTGACAAACTTATATACCAAATGGATACAAAACCTAAAAATCACATTTGTAATATAAGAGAACCCAAATCCACCAAAACAA